TGCACGACATGTCACTCGGCAACCGGTCCAGAAACGTCGCCTCGTAAGTGGGCCTCGGGTTCATGAAGAAGAAATACGGGTCCCAGAACTTGACCCCGCGCACCGTGGTCCCGTAGAACATGTTCTGCTTGCAGTTGACCGCCACGGGAACGATCCTATCACTCATCTCTGCGAACAGAGCACTGAATCGCAGCAAGAAGGGCTCGCGACACGTTGTGCCCTCAGGGCACACCACGAGGTCGCCCTTTTGGAGAAGCGCTGATAGGCGGGCAGCGTCAGCCTCACGATCGCGGGTCAAAGCAATGGTTGGGATTGGCGATAGAAACCTCGAGAGCCGGCTTACGCTGTACGACACACACGAGACTTTGCGTCCGAGCGCAATGGCGATGATGATTGGGTCGAGCGCTGAACGGTGATTGCACACGTAGAGGTTGCCGGGGGTACCGGGGGAGGGCGGTGGGGGCCGGTTGCCGCGGATCACGAGCTTGATCCCCAGCATTGCGTAGGTGTACGGTACGATGCGCTCGGGGAGAGGGAGGTTGATGTACACACGCATTATACTGAGGATGAAGCCAAATGGCAGCCAGAGATACGTTATGATGGCGTTGAGTGGGTCCGGGCGCTGCACTAGGCGTCCATCATGGAAAATTATTTGGTTTTTGAGACGGTTTTTGGAGACTGGACGGGCTGATTTGCTTGGGTGCACCATGTAGCCCTCCTGCTCAACATTTGATTAGCCACACCACAGTCAGCAAAAATTCACATGAAACAGCTGAATAAATTAAAGGAGCCAATCTTATTTCAAATTAAAAATAAGATATAAATTCCACCAACCAACACAAGGTATTTATGATATAATTTAATTATAATATAATATAATTTTTAAACTTAAAAAGTACTAGCCTCTCTGTACGCGCTTCTGCACTTGCGAGATGCTTTTTTTTTAAAAATTTAAATTTATTTTAGAATTTAAAAAGACAATGGGTAGTTGTGTTCCATAAAAATATGATCCATTATCTGATTTTTCTTTTAATTTTAATTTTTTTAAATATGAAAAAGTGTGAATTTACCATATTATCCTCATTTAATTAATAATTTCAATTCTTAATGTTTGCATTAACCATGGGCATTTTCTGGTATTTTGAATGTTTCACCATTCTCTGCCTTTTGCTTTATATATATATATTATACAGCCGTGACGGATCTTATAACCATAAGAATCAAACTTAACAAGAAAGCTCATATCAGGAGCAGGAAGATGATGAAACCAAATATAAGTATTATTATTCAACTGCCGCTTCTTAGCCTAAGAATTGAAAACCATATTAGCTAATTTATAAATTTGTTAAATAGATATCTGATCATAATTATGGAACAAGTTTCAAATGTCTTAGAATAATTATCCGCAGTGAATTCAACATGGTATATAGGCATACTTGTAACTAGAGTTTTATTATTATTCTTTTTTAGACTTGACGACAAGATTCCTTTGCTTAAAATGTTTCAAGGAGATGTGGTCGGTTATGATCATTTAATGGTTGCATTTCTAAATTATGCATTCACAATAATTGACTTAATGATTTTCTTACCGTCACAATTCCATTGAATGGGCAGCATACATTTTTAGCTGGCAAGTAGTTGGGGAAGTTAAATTATGTGGGTCCCATGCTTTTACTATAACAAATTAGAAAGAAAAAAAAAACAAATAAATGAAATAATTAAGCAAAAATGAGAAGTAGCAGAAGTGCTAGTACTGAACCTTGCAAAGTGACATGTAATCATGGTCGGAGCTCCGATCTCCGATCCCAAGATCCGGAACTTCGTCGCCGAACTCCTTCAGAACCGCCAAACGCTTCAATTTCCCCACTAAAACCCCTGGCTTCTTCACGAACCCGGTAGCCTTCTTCGTCTTGGGGTTCACCTCGATCTCGGTGCCCAGCACCTTATCGCCGCCCAAAAAATCCTTCACGAACGGCTCCACCATCACCGTCGGATTCGCCGTCACCACCACCTTCCTCTTGCACTTGTCGAACACTTCGAAACTCTCCGCCCTCACGTCCGCCGCATAAAACCTGATCAATTCAAAAAATTAAATCAAAAATGTCAAATTTAAATGCTTATATTCAAATGAAATTGTTTTTTATTTGATTTTTGTGTACCGGGGGAGGACGGCGCGGGAGGCGAGCTCGATGTCGCGGATTTTGAGGCCGGAGAAGGAGATGAAGATGAGGATTTGGATGCCGAGAGCTTCGGAGAAGAAGAAGTAGGAGATGATGATGAGAGGGAGGGAGAGGAGGAGGACGAGGCCCCGGAGGAGACTGCCGGCTTCAATGGCGACGAGCATGAAGTAAGGGAACGAGCTCCGGGAGATCAGGAGCGTGCCATCGAGGTCGGCCGCGATCGACTCGTACGACGCAGTTTCGCTCGTGTCGCACGCCGTAATGGACGGGAAGCTCCGCCGTTGCTTCTGCGACGACATCCTTTGGGAAACTGAAGCGTCTCTTTTTCTCTCTCTTTTTTCTGTGTCTGCCTTTTGAGTGAGGGATGGTGTGTGGCGGGGGTTTTAAATGAGGGAGTTGGGGTTGAAATTACTGTGCTGTCCCTGCTTGCTGGGTCTACAAATTAATTAAGGCGGGGGAGTATTTTTCTTGTTTTAGCTGGAAATGTGGTTGGGGTTGAAAATGTGCATGAGAATATTGCACATTTGCTGGCTTTACTGCTCCCATTGATGGTCATGGGTCTACATAAAATGCCCATTTATTTAATTATTTGCATAATTTAATCAACACTACTTGAATTCTTTTTACGTATAAATTACAGTCTAACACATATACGTACGAAAAATACATTTTAAATATAAATATAAAATTGTAATTCGTAAGTACGGAGATTTAGCCAATTAGTTGTTTATTATTTCTGTATGGGTTAAAGATGGTACACCAATTGCTTTCATGTTTTTCATGTGCTAGATGAATCACATGCACTCTATGTTTAGAATGAGACCATATTTAGTAACAAAACAATAATGATATAAGACAGTTCATGTTGACGATCACTTCTCTAAGCGGCCCGTACTCACGTAGTAGCATATACAGGATTTATCTTTATTAGAGAGGGTATCAGTAATGTAAGCAGTAAATGTGGTATAAATAGTAATAATCTAATAACATACGACGTATATATCAGACATTTTAGTGATGGTAATTAGTAATTATTCCAATTGTCGATACAATAACTCACCTACAGCTGACTGCAAGGATGAATTAATTGTTCAAACCAAGCAGGTCGAATTCAAAGTGAGCATTAAATAGTCTCACCAGAAAATGGCCATGAGACTAGATTTGGAATAATTGGGCTGGATTTAATTTGGTTCAATCTTTAACGTGAAAAAAAGAAAAGAAGAGAGTGTGTTATAACTTATATAAAACACATATGCATTAATGTTTGGACTTTGTTATCTGGGTTGATTTTTCAGAAAAACATTCACATGATGTACTCACGTGATGAGAGAGATAAAAACATAATTGTATACCGATAAGGACAAGGAAGTTTTTCTCCATCACTTAGACTTTGTCATTTGAAAATTGCAAGACTGATTTGCGGTGAAGAAAATTGTAGCAAAACTTCAATACATGAAGGCAGGGGACGTTGAGGACTGGTTGGAGGTTAGATCATCTTCCGAGCATAGTAGATAATAATTTCTATGGGGGTTGGTTGGAGTAGGTGAAGCCTTGAAGAGTTAAATGATTTTATCACTGCTTTTATTGGTGGCCATACTTTAATCTGGTGTAGGTCTAGACAATTGCAGCTATCTTATCTAAATTTGTGTTTCAACTTTCAGATTACGTGCAAGAAATTAGTGTTAGGACTTGCTTGGTTGCCTAGAAAACTTCCAATTTTAGATTAGGTATAAGAAAACATTACTTAGCTATCTATTCTATCATTCTATCAATACATCAAACAAACTTAAGATCAGCTGCAATTCTTGGTGGGAATTGATTAAGGCTGATGTCGACAGAACCTAAGTACTCTGACTATAAACAACTCTTTTTTATAGTCCTTTAATATCAAATGCAATTATCACATCTACACCTTAATCATAATCAACCGCGGAGATGACTTTTGAGACCGATTGATGCACACAACAACCCGACAGTTGCACACGTGGCAGCGAGCAACCATTGCTCTCTTGTTGATGCATATAAATTTCACTTTGCATCAACGATTAAAAGTCGTCCACTAGCAAAATCAAAGCATAGAAGCTCTCACAAGTTTATTAGTTAGTTTGTTCTCCTTTAACCATATTCGCCATGCTCAACTGTCGACTGTAAATTCGTTTGACATCATAACGGTTAAAAACAGTAGTTTCTGTCGGGGATTCAGTCTATGAAATGATAGATTTGTTGATAGGATACAGTGGACCACCCTGCAATAAATTTCAAGTCGAATCTTTCAAAGCTGTGACAAAAGATTTTATGGAAGGCTGAGAAGCCTTTTACCTGGAAATGCATACATTCAATAGACGCATTAAATACTAGTTGAATTATGTATGTCATTGCCAGCCAGCCTAGCCATTTAGACCTCATTAAATGAGAGATGTTGGATTGAATTGAACCAACCTCTTGATCACATTGTAAACCACAATATCCACTAGTCATGCATAAAAACTTGTGTGAAACGGTGATAGCAATCATGGAATGTAACAAGTGTTTCTCACTAGCCATGAGCCCTGCTACTATTAGTGATGTGTTCTACATTGTCCTTTATTATATACCTGCACACAAAATCTACTCTTCTAAAAATTGTTTGGTAGCAGTCTGAAACCTGAAGCCTAATGACAATTCAATTGCCATACTGCAACTTGGCTTGGAAAGCAATGGGACTTGAAAAAGTAGACTCATATCAAATCCCTAAACCAAGAGGTTAAACCTTCCAAATCCAAACACTCGCAATATGTATTGTTGAGTAGGGGTTAGGAAAAGAGTTGAACACGCACGACACAGTGTAACCTCCATATAATGCCAATTTCACAAATGTATAGCATTTCTCTAACCTTCGAGAAAAGGGTGCGAAAGAAAAATATTTGAAAAGAATACTTTCAACACACTTGTCTAATACCTGATCAAAAGCTAAAGTCAATATAACAAATCTCGGGAGGCTAACTAACCAAAATTATTATTAAAGGATGGCACATTAAGTTATCAGGAACCTCCTTCCCCTCGGAGTCTGTCCTGCCTCTCGGCTGCATGCTCCTCTTGCAATTTCCTCAAAATTTGCCTAATCCTGGGATTGAAAAAACGGTCGCGAACATACTTCTTTTCCTCAGCTTGTATCTCCTTGACGGCGCTGGGATATGGGTTGGGAGGAGGCTTCTTCCCTTGAAGGCGTGCAATTTTCTTCAAGCGAGAATATGCCATTTTCTTTCCTTTTCTCTCCATACAGTATTCCATCTAGAAGACGACATGAAAAAACAGTTAGAAACAACTTAGAAACGCGAATACAGTCAGGGACAGGAAACGCGAATACATACATCAGCTACTGCCATTGCCTCCTGCTCAGAAACCCCTTGGTCTTTCAACTCAAGCACCCTCAAACCAAATATACGGGCTGGAGGAGGATCAAAAGCAGAAAACCTGTTCAAACATAATTGCTATGTTACTATGTCGTGTGTTTTCTGATAACAAGTTAATATGTCTTTCTGATTCACACAACATATTCAATTCTGAAATACTAATCACATTTGTCTGCCAAGGATAAATTATGAAAACACCCCATTTGTAATGAGACCAGAACTCATTTGCTCACACACTAAGAGACTGATAGCACATGAAATGAAGAGGAACATGAACACCGAGTACTGCAACAAAAAACAAAGATAAACCATACTTGATGGCATCCTCATGTTTGGAATCTGGATGCTTTTTGAAAAACTTCTTTATGTAGACATCCTCTGGGAGTGTGATTTTCTGAATTGCATCTGCTCGAGGAAATGTTACAGGCGGTACCCTGAGAAATTCCCAAAACATTATGTTTTCAAAAATTAAATAAAAAATATAAGAAAATGCATTCCAAGAATCACAGAATGTTGAGAAAGAGAGGGACAAACCGTTCCATGGCTTTGAGCCAAACAGGCTCAGCCTTGGCCAGGCCCTTCACCAGCTTTCTGGTTCTTGTAAGTAAATCTCCTTTCATGAACGACATAGTTGCCTTCCTTCAGTTCTCCAGCTATGATTTATTTCTACCTAGAAACTAGAAAGCAGTAGATGAACTCAGCCATGCACTACGCTGTTTAGTTGACTTAGAAGATTAGGGTTTTTGTTTAGTGTTTCCATATTAAAATTATTTGTATTAACAACCGAAAGAAAAAACACAAACCTCTACTGTAATAGGCGCGCTTTTCCTATAATATGTACATAAAATTATGTAAGGCAATTTATAAAAATTTCTCATAAACCGTTATAAGAGAAAGTATGAGCTCTTCCTAGTGATAGAAACTCAGAAAATGACAAGACAAAAATATTCTGGAATCAAGATAACAACCAAGTATTTGAACAAAAGAAATATTCAAAAGTGTACCAATGCGAATCTGTTGCCCAAAAACAAAAAAAGGAGGAAGATTGCGTGATAATATAAGCAAACGCTTCAGAAGAAAACTGGAGATTGAATTAAAAGCACAACCGAAATATTAAAACAAGAATTCATCTTTGGAACTTGGATGACTTAACAATACTACAGCACAAAGAGACTTCCACGACACACAGCCTTCCATTGTCTAATAAAACCCCATTTAAACTACCCCCGGTATCATCACCAATTCAACTACCCCGGAATCATCATTTTTTTAAAAAAATTACCAAACCACTTGAGAGATATTCCAAAGATAAACTAACTACAAAAACCAGCAAAAACCCATCCAAAATCCATCAATACTCATCCGGATTATTTAGAAAAAACTGGCAGACAATCAATTGATAACAGATTTAATCAAAACCCACTAATCCCACATCCAAAGTTCAAATCTTTCAGTAAATTTTAGGAGAACAGTACCTACCCACTTCACCAAATTGCTCTTAGGAGCTAGCAGATTAAAAAGAAAACATTTTTAAGACTGTAACTCAAGGAAAAATCGAAGCTTTACATGGGTACAATTTACTTATCAGAGAAAGGCATCCCAGCACAAGATCAACAATTATAAAGCAAGGTCCATTTCCGAGAATTGAATATGCATCAGGAAGAATGAAACCAAATGACAGAAACATATAATTACGTTATTAGAAAACCGAGACAGTGAATTTGAAAGGCTGTCGAAGGAGGAGTTGCTATTACCTGCTAGTGGTGGCGTGAGGTTGAGAGATGGAGAAATATCGAACGAGAAAAGTTGCAAACGACTGTCAGTAGGCTAAAGTTCAAGGTGGAGTTTGGAGTTTGGGCTTGGGTCAGCTAAACATCAGAAAATTTGAAAGGCCCACGTTAGGAAAATGAAAACTATTTTAATTTTTTGTTTATATTCTATATACTTTTTCTCATCCTTTCTTCACCCCTTCTAACATTTGCTCTGAATTTCCTCTCCTTTTTTTTTATTCCAAATAAATCCATTTTCAGAAAATTGGGCCAACTTTTGCTCTCTTTTGATTTTTCCTGTCTTTTGTCGATCATTTTATGTACATTTTATAAATTGCCTTACATAATTTTATGTACTTGGTTGTTATCTTGATTCCAGAATATTTTTGTCTTGTCATTTTCTGAGTTTCTATCACTAGGAAGAGCTCATACTTTCTCTTATAACGGTTTATGAGAAATTTTTATAAATTGCCTTACATAACTTTCTCTTATACTTTCTCTTATACCAAAATAATCTGAAACTGGCTTTCCAATATCTTCATTATCCGTTTGCACATATACAAAGATAAGCTGCAAGTAACCACACATAAATTTAAGAGAACATATACATATAAGACTAAAGAATTTGGATTAAATTCTGTCTTCATTATAATACTGCATGTACAAAGATCAGAACAAACAAAACAACGTCACTGGAAATTAATAGACAATGGCAAATCTACTTGAAGGGCAATGTTGCTGAAATAAGACTGCATTTATTTATTTTTCTTATTACTTTTATATGAAACAATATTTCATCAATATGAAGAGCTGAATACAAACTGAAATACAAAAGTTCCAGAGGCACATCCAACCCCCCACCCCCCTTCTCTTCCCTAATGTTGTCAAAAATCTAATATCTGATATGGACAAGTGCGGACAATTTCGCGAACAAGAGAAGAAGGATAATTGATATCATCACAAACAAACCACAAATCATCATAAAACTTAAATTATTACTCAATATCTAACATAAATAATTTCTGTGTGTAAACTACAAATAAAAAAGCAACCACAAATAACAAATAAAACTACCACCAAAAATAACAAATAAAACAACAACTGAAAACCACAAATAAATCAAACAGCAACAAAAAAATCACTTCTGTCCCAAAATCAATTCTATGATCCTAGATATTACCAGAAATTACAACAACACCATAAATAAATCAAACAACAACAGAGTCAGATCAGAGAAATTACCTAGAGCAAGCCAATCGTTTCCTATGATCCCAAAATCGATTCTGTCCACCAAAAATCACAACAAAGTCAGATCAGATAAATAGAATTAACAAAAATTGTCAAATCCCTAAATTTTTTAATTAGGGTTTACACATATTAATACCTCAAACTGAGAGAGCAAGAGAGAGCAGCTGAGAGAGATCGAGTGAGGAAAATCTGGAAAAAAAAAAAGAGGAACTGAGAGGCAGAGGCGAAAGAGACGAGTGATGAAAGAGAGTGGGTGACTGAGAGATCGTGTGAGGAAAAATCAAGTGAGGAAAACTCGAAGAAGAGAGCGTGACAACTGAGAGAGAGTAAGAGTGACAGAGAGAGAGAGCGAAAGAGGGTGCGAGTCACTGAGAGAGAGAGAGCGCGAGATTGGCTGAGAGAGAGAGAGCGAGCGTGACAGAGAGAGAGAGAGCGAGCGGGACAGAGAGAGAGCCACGAAGAAGAAGAGAGGCAAGCGTGGAAGAAGAAGACATGCGAGGGTGGAAGAAGAAGTCGACGATTTGGTTTGGGGAGAGATGGTTGAGTGAGAGGTCGATCTGGTGTTAGGTTAGGGTTTGGCGACTCGAAGAAGAAGACAGACTCGAAGAAGAAGAGAGGAGAGTAGAGAGCGAAGTGAAAAAAAAAATTGAGCGGCTGAAGTGAAATGTTAGGGGCCGTTTGGTTCATGGGAAAGGAGGCATAGGAATGGGAATTCAATTGCTTTCCCATGTTTGGTAAGTCCGGGAATGGGAAACGGATTCCTGACACATGGGAAAGTAGGGGGGAAAGTGATGCCCCCCTCTTAACTTGGGTTTTGCTTTCCCTCCTCATGGGCAAGTTTGGGAAAATGTGCCAACATTCAATGCACAATTTTCATGACTATTTTGTCCCTATGAACAATTTATAATTACAACGTATCATTAAATGCATTATTTTTTTATTTGATTTAATATGGGTATAATTGGAAAATTATACAAATTTTGTTTTCCATTCCTACTCAAAACAAATATGGGAAAGGAAACAAAGTGAAATCTCCCGATTACTTTCCCAACATTACCAAACGTGGGAAAGGAATCTTTCATTCCCATTCCTTGGGAAATGACATGGGAATTAATTTCCCCTCAAATCCATTCCGTGAACCAAACGAGGCCTTAGGGTTTGCAGAGAGAAGAAACAAACTTTTTATGCGCGAGATCGGGTGTGGCAAGGCTTACGGTTGGGATAAAATGGACGAATCAGGCGCTGCCATGTGTATTATTTAAAAAAATAATAATATAATTAAAAAAGTTCGGCCCGGTCCGGTTTTCGCCGATTTGGAGAAAATTAAACCGACTCAACCCGGTTCCTGGCCGGTTCGGCCGGTTTTTTTACCGATTCTTGCATTTTTAACTATAAAAACCGAACCAAACCACTTAAAGCAATCCGGTTCGGGCGGGTTTTCGGTAATAATGCCCACCCCTATGTCTTTGTGTCACATTACAAGTTAACCTTCTGTGTTTTTATTATTTCCCATGATCTAAGATCTTATTCTGATGATTAAACCATTAAAAGGCGAGTTTACAGTGACTAATCTAATTCCAGGGTTGTTTAACATCTTATAAATCAGGAAGCATACAACTTCAAGCTAGCTTGCCCTTCTCTTTCTTTTTTTCTTTTTCTCTGGTCAGCCACCCCGGCTAAACCTTACGGTATCAAGGAGATGAACTTGGTGAAGACTAATTAATGCAACAAGGATTACCACAATGAAAGTATAAATTAAATAAAGCTCTCCATTAATGTAACAAGGCAAATAACTTATGCACAATAACACCCCAAATATTCCACTCTCCACATCTGAACATAGTGAAAGCAATAATATAATCGTTGCTGCATAAGACACAAGGCTGAACGGCGAGACACAAGACAACTTCTCAATCCCTGGTCTTGAATGGGATGGCTCTGATGACTATCTGATGGTAGAGTGCAGCAAGTGCAGCTCCAATGAATGGTCCCACCCAGAAGATCCACTGAAACACAAGAAAATCATCCCAGGTTTAAGACATATAATCTCAACCACACGTTTAGATGTAACTTCAAATGATGTTTAACAGGTTTACTCACATGATCATTCCATGCATGGTCCTTGTTGTAGATGATGGCAGCCCCAAGGCTCCTAGCAGGGTTGATGCCGGTTCCGGTGATGGGGATGGTTGCCAAGTGCACCAAGAACACTGCAAACCCGATGGGAAGTGGAGCCAAGATCTGCATTTTAATTCGTTGGTTTAGTAATCAGCTGCAAAAAATAATACCACTTGCAACTTCATGCAAGAATTTCATTATGCAACATAAAATTAAACTCAAGAAATCACTAGATTGAGGAGGTGTGGATACGATACTAGTTGATCAATATGTATATAGTAAAAATCACAAGAAAGAAGATTTTAACTATCTGATTTTTTTGGAATCATAACAGTTTGTGACCCCAAGTACTCCCACAATCAAGTGTGGGGAGTGTGAATAGTGTCGCACCCCCACAAATCCATAAGGAGGTCAGATTCATGAACCACACTGCATTAGTTTTAAATAGAAACCCACTTTTGACTAAAACTTTAGTGCAAAAGGGCCAACTTGCATACAACTTTCAAACAAGGACTTTGATTGAAAGTAATGATGAAGATTAAGAGTGCACTGAAAGTTTAATCCATAAAAAAGTCAGATTCATCAGGCTTATGACATTAGCTTTAAATAGAAAATACTTTATGTTCTACTAAAAATTCAGTGTAAATGAGTCAACCTGCATTGGACTTTCAACCAAATAAGACTTTAAAATTAACAGTGGCTAAGGGTTATCAAAATGGTTAGTTTTACAATAATCTCGCTCCAATTGGGATTATGCCCAGTACTATAGCATTGCAATGAGAATATACGTAGACAGGTATAAAATTGTATCCATGTCACATAGAATCATAAGAGGACAGTGTCGAAACAAGTGGGTAATCAAAAAACCAGGTAAGAAAAGAAAAGGTGAGGTATACTTACAGGGACATGAGAGTCTCTAGCATTTCTCTTGGCATCAGTGGCAGAGAAAACAGTGTACACAAGAACGAAAGTGCCAACAATCTCAGCACCAAGGCCGTCACCCTTGGTATAGCCATGGTTCACCACATTAGCTCCACCTCCCCGCAACTCATACTGGTTCTTTTGGAACCCCTTCACCACCCCAGCACCAGCAATTGCCCCTAGGGTTTGCATGACTATATAGAATACAGCTCTGGTCAGGGAGAGCTTCCTTGCTAGGAAGAGACCAAATGTCACAGCTGGGTTTATGTGACCACCTGACCAAATGATCAACAAAGCAAGGTTAATATAATCTTATAACGAATATGATAATTAGTGAGGAAACGAGTATGAGGATATATATATATTCCTTATACTGTAAACGAGCATCAAGGGGATCAGGAACAAAGCTTGCACCTTTAACAAATCCCATTTTTTCACTCTACCATTCTCAGTTTTAGCTGTAATCATACTAACCAAACAGGAATTTAGAGAAATAAGCCTCTGAAATTTCAGATGATCACAATATCTAAACACAAGATCACTTCTTTTTTATTTTTTCTCTTTTAGTAAGTGGTTTCTTTATTTTTCATCAGCAAGCATACAAATGTAAAGTATGGCCAGTAAAACTTTCAGTTACCCAACCAAAACAGAAAATCCACACACAAACATGTCTCCTCCTCTATTTGATTCTCTCTCAGAAAGCAAAAGTAAAAGACGAACTTTTTTTCTTTCTCCATTCTTATTTTTCCTTCCCTCACTTTCCTAGGAACCAAACATAAATTTAAAAAACAACTCAAAATCTTTTTTTTTTTTTGTATATATCATCAACTTATTTTTTTGTAAGACAAAAACAATAAAAGAAAGGAAGCCTGCCAAGTACTAGATCAAACCAAAAGAAAGAAAAATATGAGAGAAAAATAAAGAAATATACCTGAGATACCAGCAGTGCAGTAAACAAGGGCAAAGATGCTACCACCAAAGGCCCAAGCAATTCCCTGAATACCCACAGTAGTACACTTGCTGGGAGATCTAGAAACACCCATGACAGTCAAGACAGTGATGTAGAGGAACAAGAAGGTGGCAATGAACTCAGCAATTCCAGCCCTCCAAAAAGACCAGGACTTGAGCTCACCAGGCTCAAACAGAGGTGCTGGTGGTGGCTCCTTGTAGTCCTTGTCTGTCTGTGCAGATGTCCCTATGGGCTGCCTCTCTGAGAATTTGTTGGCTCCCAGCTTCACATCTTCTTCTTTCCCTTCCATTTCTCTGTTTTCTCTCTCTCTCTCTCTCTCTCTCTCTAGAACTCTGGTTTTGGCCTTCTCTCTCTACAAAGTTGAAAGCTTTGGTTTTTGGAGTGATGATTTGGTTGAGTGAGCAATGGAGTGAGGTTTATAAAGGGAAACAAATATTATGAGTGTGAGCTGTTAAAGCATGTTAAAGAAATGATGAAAAAGCATTTTATTTTTAATTAACCTAAAAATAAAATAAAACTCATTTGCACTTTTTGAGTTGTATTTGCAGAATTGATTAATATATATTCCAGCATAAAACAGAAAATCACTGACACGGGCTCTTTGGTTGGTGAATTATTTGGAACTATTCTGTAATTCTCAAAAGTGGAAGCTTAATTCTTAATCTTAACCATTACTTTAATTCCATGGTAAATAAAAATATTAGTGATAATGGAAATTTCTGGGGGTTTAATCAAGAGATGTTTCTGGAAAGTGCAGAAAAGATGAGGACAGTTGCTGTCTGTCACTATGTCAGGGATGGTGGGGTATCTTTATCTTCCTTGCAGACTCTTTTGGATAAATTAATCTTATTCACTCCACCTTTATGTCTCTTTCCTCCTTGGCTTTTAATCCACTTCTTCAATATTTTAAAGTTTTCATTTTTCTTGGTCTGAAGTATTTTAAACCTCAAGTAACAAATCTGTGGTTAAATTGCTGTCTAAACAATACCATATAAGGGCCTTGTACCACAGTTGCTCAAGAGTATTTATCTCAATGTTTTAGGTTTGATTTCCTTTAGTAATACAAAAATATTTGTACTCACCACTTTAATCTAAGGTGTAAGTTCACTATTTTTTTTAATACTTGACATGCGTTCATAGATATATACATGATTAACTTTTTACTTTAATTTATATAACTATAGTTATGTTTATAAACACATGTCAAGTGTTGAGAAATATAGTGAATATACACATTAAATTAAAGTAGTGAGCAAAAATACTCTCAGTATCACTTTGTATTTTAAAAAAATGATACCATGTGTGGCACCCAATTAGGATCAGAGGGTGTGGTGGATAATAATGACAGGTCTAAAAAGAAGCAAAAGTTGAAACCTTTGGCCAAGGCAATTCATTGTTTATAAAGTAAAGGCAACTTCTTCTGGTGCAGTGTGATTGAAGAACACAAACCCAGAGAAAGAAAGAAAAAGAAGAAGTTGTAAAAATTTTAATGGTCAGGACCGTTGAGAAAAGGACGGCAGCCTAAAAAGCATCAAACTTGTGGACGTTTGTCAAGAATGGGTCTAAATAAAGAAATGGAATATCACGCAACAACATGGAGGACAACAACGGCTACATACTTTACTTAACTTTCATGAAATTAAAAAGTTCCATTGTCCTTTTTTATTCTTTTTTTTTTCAGATAAAATTGAAGTGCTATATCCTTTTCCTAAGCAAAACCTCTCTTATCTTAATTGCCTGCGCTATATAAATAAAATTAAAATTTTGAGATAAAGGTTGTCAAAAATATTGGAGATTTTAAAACTATTATCAGAGATATCTAACTTTCAAATTCTAAGTTTTAAACATCGATTATATAATCAATAATTTAATTTCTCGTTTTGAAATAACGATCATATCCTTCTAAGTGATCAACATTTTCCGATCAAAATAAACACTATCCAAACAATTCAAAGGACATCATTCCAACAACACCACTTTGCACCAATTCTTCCTACAATTTTATGTATCCATTTATTTTCTTTTCCCAAAGTTTGATATCTTATACACAAGAATATTAATATGAATTGGTGATTAAGCAAAGGGTTAATCATTGATCAAAATAATTCTTATCTAGATGTATCAACATTACCCATGCCCTAAATATAATACACACGCAAGAAATGATTGCTAGAAAACATTAATAAGTGGGTAGGACCGAGGGGACCTCACCATGACCTACTCATTCCCCACAGAAAACTGAAAAATCCTTTTGTCATGAGAATTGGTCGGTCGTTCAAAATCCAACTCACACAATTGCTTTGCTCTTGTGGTATGGGCCCCATCTCAATCACTTCGAATCTGTACCCTTCATTTTTATAATCTTCAAAGTTTTCAACCACCACACACTTCACATCGAACCGTCCAAGCAACACCCTGGATCCACGCGGCAGCCATCCGATGTCATGCACTCGCATGTTTTCTTCTTCCACCCAACAAAGCTCAGCCGACCAAACACAAAAACATCATCTGTCTGTCTGTCTGTCTAAACCTGTGAAATGGGGAGCAAAAACTATGCAAAGCTGCAAAATATAGATAGATGCCTGCATTTATGGATGAATTGAGAAAACATGGAGGCAACTAAAACTAGCTGAAATATTTTGTGTTTGTCGATTTGAGTTAAAAAGCTTATGGGCTTAACTACACAAATTGGAAACTGGGGTTCTTCATGGCCCAAATGAAATCATAGAACGTGGGTAATACGAACTCATCCACAACCAAATCCCACCGGCAAAGTAGTTGGTTTGAGGCTCGACAGACGATGAGCATAGTTAGCCAACTGTTCATCTATATAGACCTCGTATAGAGTCCATCGCGATAAAATGATCATTAGGTCTCTTTTGGTGGGTTGGTAGGAACAAAATGATTCCAATTAAAGACAACTAGTGTCCTAACCCATGTTTGGTGCACCAATAAGAATTGTGGATTAGACTCGGATGTTGGACTAATCCAATGTCTGAGTACCGAGTACCGACACAAAATAAAATATAAGTTGATCTCAAGTACCAAGAAGAGAAGAAAAAGGTGGGGGAAGTTGGGAGGGAAAGAAGAGTGCCTGATAAGGTAATTGGCGTAAGTATAAAAGAGTTTCAAAATTATAATTTTGAATCCAATTTCTTTTTTCAAAAATCAAAATTGTCCCTAAAAAAGTTTCAATAATTGTGTTTCGACCCCAATTTTGAAAAATCAATTTCAAAATTGCCCATGCTGTGTCTTGACCATGTTAGGGAGTGTCTTGACTGTGTTCAAGTCCGTTTATTATGTCCAACGCATGTCCGACACTCCTAGAGATGGTAGAAATCCTCGTCGGGTTTAAATGTTGTATATCTTAATAACATAGTGCTGATCAACCAGTTTTTTTTTTTTAATTAGGCTACATTTTATTTGTATAGATACATGTTTCTATTTACTCGACTAACATTAAGAACATATTTAGTGTTGTATATGTGAATTGGTTGTTCTACAAATAAATAAGGGATTTGGGATAGGTTTGATAGAGAATCCCTCGACAGGTACATGGATTCCTCAAAAAAAATTATCAGGGATGGGGGCGGTGACGGGACGGGGATGGAGAGCGGGGACAGGGATGGTATTGTCATACCTGACCCCAAACAGGCCCGTTGCTATTCCTAAACATTCTGTCATTTTAACTAATTAAAGTGTCCGTACAACATAGGTGATACATTGTATGTAAGTTTCTTTCTCGTAATACGTTGTATTGTATATAAGCTTTTCTTTCTTGATATGTTACATGTAAGTTTTTCTCTATTGATAGGATTCACTTCAATTAATGGCTTAAAGTTAACTAAACACTTATAAATGAGTATGAGCCGTAGATTAAAAACATGAATAAACAATCAAACATAAATGACAGAGGTCAGGAAACCCTAACGAAGGCTGACGTGTGAGTGGCAGACGTTTGTATTTTGACGCATTTTCAGACACAAATAAAGTTTTTTTTTCTTTTTTTTTCTTTTCAAATGCATAAATTAAATCGCTTTTTATCCATTTTGGGGTTCGCCGACAACCGCCAAATCTCTGCAATTCAAAGCTCTCGCTATCTGCAATCCGTACTTTAAGTATGTCTCCTTTTTGTGTTAATTGGTTTGTCTGTCTTTTTGCTTTGCTATATGTATTGGTTCTTCTATATATACTTGTTTGGTTGCCGAGAAAGTGCAGGAAAAAGAAATTGGTTGAAAATAACAAAAATTGCGATTAACGCATTAATTCGGAGCTCAGTGTACTGAAATCTTCAGTAAAATGAGTCTTCAATCATCTATCAGTTATAATATTTATCATAATCGATAAACTCAGCTCAGGTACCTAAAAATTGTAAGTTTTATCACATGATTTAGGGAAATATAATAATCAACATCCTATTTCGTTAACTTTGGAAATGAAGGAAATAAGTATGAAGTACAGATTTTGTTAAAAAATATTGGAAATGGTTGTTTCATGGCATGTAAGAGCTGTGTTGTTTAATTTGTGTTAGATAAAAATTTGGGCAAGTTTTACACAGAAGGGCTGCTGATGATAATGTTGTTTGACTTGACAGGAAATAACGGTGGACAAGTTAAATTAGTTTGCATATGAGCCTCATTGCTTAAGAAGCATAAAGTTATTTTCTTTTGCCTGATGCACTCCAGTTTTTAAGTCTCAGAACTTGGCTTTGTACAAATGTCAGAAGGTGACATGGCTGTTATTAAACCTGAGGTAGAATAACTCTGTCATTGTGTGTTTTTCCTGCTTCTGTTTGCCCCTCCCCCCCTATTTTCCGATTAAGTTATGTCCTCTTTGTCTAGTGTTTAGTAGATCAATGAATTTTATTTATTTTTCGTTCCAAAAAAAAAAAAAATTTTATTTATTTTCTTCAAGCCATAGTTCTATCAATTGTTTCCTATATATTTTCCCATTTGAATGCTTGTAGCTGCCTTCACTTGTGGGGTGTTAGTTTGTTTTCTTTTTTTGTTTCTTTCTTTGGAGGGGGAGGTGAGGGTGGGCGGGTTGTGTATATGTTTGCTGCTTTTATTTTTCTTTGTAATGTTGAGACTTAAAAGCTATTCTGAAGTCACACTGGTGCCAACTGATTCTCAGATGATGAAGTCTTATATCTGGCTTCAGACTGCTGATGGTTCAATCCAACAAGTGGAACAAGAGGTTGCCATGTTTTGCCCCATGATATGTCAAGAGAATATACAAAAAGGGATGGGATCTTCCAAGAACCATGCAATATCTCTTCCGGAAAGAGTCAATACTTCCATGTTGAGCCTAATTATTGATTACTGCAGGTTTCATCAAGTACCAGGTCGCTCGAACAAGGTTCTACATGTTGTTGGAATGTCATTTTCTTTTTTCCGAGTCTATGTTCTTTCCTTGCTCTTGCCTACGGCTACTGTACATGAATTTGAGCTACTGAAGACAATTATCTTCCACCTGCAGTGGATTAAATGTTTCCTCTGATGCTGGTGTAAAGTTCACATGGTCTTATGACTTGGGGCCATTGGTTTGTGTAGGAATGCAAGGCTTTTGATGAAAAATACATCCGAATGGACACAAAAAAGCTCTGTGAGCTGACTTCAGCTGCTGACAGCCTCCAATTAAAGCCGTTGGTTGATCTTACCAGTCGTGCTCTTGCACGAATAATTGAAGGGAAAACACCTGAGGAGATACGTGAGATATTTCATCTGCCTGATGATCTTACAGAGGTCTCTGGTGCTTGAGATATCTGTGTATGCTTAGAAAAACTTGCTTCTTCTTTGTTGTTTTTAACAAAATTAAGAAATCATCCAGGAAGAGAAGTTGGAGCCTTTGAAAAATTCAACTGACGATCCACGTATCCGGCTTTTGAATCGACTATATGCACGAAAGAGAAGAGAACTTCAGGAAAGAGAGAAATTGAAGGTGAATTTGGTGTTCGATAAATTTGCATTGAAAGGCTTTACGTAATGTAATTGCTGGATTTATACTATGCTAAACAATTCATCCTTCTTGATAGTAGTCATGATTGAACCTTCCATACTTTTCAGAATGCTGAGCTTGAAGAAGAGCGAAGCGATGACCGTTCAGTTGATGATCTCTTGTCCTTCATTAATGGAGAAATTGGAGGTATACTTGAGTAATTGCTTTCTTGTGCCTTCACTGCTTACTTATTGCGTTTCTATTTTTCAATAAATGAGGACATTTTACCACTTTTTGACTAGTTGGAACTAACATTGAACGACCTTGTAGTTCCAAGGTACCCAATTGCACTCCTATGGAGACATACTTGATACTAATATTTTCAGGATTGATTTGCCCACATTATACTGTACTTGGAGTACTTAAGATTCCATTGAAATGGGATTTGAAGTCTAGTGTCTTAGTCGTCTATTTTCTACTTTATTTCCTTTTGAAGGCCTCATTGGAGGTAAGGAAATTCTGTTTCACAGATTCCAAGGGGATTAAAACTTCCAAGAACAAAAAGAAGAATCGTAGAAGAAAAGATCAACAAAAAAACACTTGTCTATATGAGGCTAATGAAATCCATGAGGTTCGAATCACTAATTTTCTCTTCAACTTCTTATGCATTTCCGCTTGAGTTGTTAGGTAGCCGAATTTTTTTATAATTCTTTGTCCTTTCCCCCGAATGTTGTAGGAGTCGAGCAATCTTAAGTTTGCTTGCCCCGGTGATGAAGTCAACAAATTTAGAGCCAGTCCTAGTTTGACATTAAAGCTACAAGATCTAAATGATGACAGCCTGGAGGATATGGTTGAGTTTGATGATGGTGATATTGATGATGAGATTGATCCTGCGTTAAAGGAAAAAATTGATAGGTTTGTCTGCAACTATCTTGGGTTATTAAATGGTTATACCAAAAACAATACTTTTTTCTATTCAAATATCAGTTGATGAAAATTATTACATCGAACAATATGAGGAAAAAAAAAGTACTTAATTGACCTGAGTGGCTATAACTTTGTCAATGCTGAGTTTAGTTAAAGAAAGCTTAAGGAAACGGAATGCTGCAATTCGTTAGACTTATAGTGCAACTTCCTTACATTTTTATGGACACCATGAAGATATGCAATGAGAAGATGAAATTTGATACCTGCGAAATAGTTTCAAATTGTCATCTGTTTTTCAGTGTTCCAAAATTTTCTTAAAAACCAACTAGCTATTAGTCTAGTGGTATTTCTCTCCACTTTGTTGGAAAATATCCCAAGTTTGAATCCTCTCTCACCCAAATAAAAAAAATAAAAAATTTGCTTAAGAAAGTTTCACTGTTAAAGAAATGAGTAAACTTTGTAGACAATGTACTGCATTTTTCTGTTTCTTATATTACTGTTTGTAGATTATTGTAAATGAATTCCTATATATAATGCTGTTCTGAAAAGATCTTGGTTTGTGGGTATCTGAGCATGATAGTTGTGTGGACATTTTAAATATATTTCTGCTACGTTTCTCATAAAAAATTAGCTCTCATTTTGGTTGTCAACATTAAATATATATTTTAGCAGTTGTGAAACATGCTTCAGGACTGCCTGCAAGCCTTTGTCAATATGTCAGTTTTATTTCATGTCCTAAAGAGTAAGTTGTATTAACTGGAAATTTCAAGTTGCGTCTTCCACCATGGTTGTGCATGTAAAACATAGAGCGAAAGAGAGAGAGTTCTGCCTTGTTCCTACTGTTACATATTCTCTTGTATCTTTTGGTTCAGGGAGGTTGAAGATTTTGCTAGGAGATTAAATTCAGACTGGCCTCAAAGGATACAAGAGATTCTTGCTTTGGGTCAGGAAAGGAGGCGGGTACCAGTTTCCATTAACGGAAGGGATTCTATAAGAAGATATGCTTGTATGTTCTGTTTCCTTTTTCACTTTTTTCTCCCTTTTCTGAAGCTTTTACAGTTGTTTTTTCCTCTATATACTCTTGTTACACAAGTAATCAATCTGTGCTAAGATATTTTCCTGCTTTTGTTTTGTTAGTATAAGTTTACAAATGCAATAGTTTTATGTATGTTTGAGACTTACATGTTTATCCTTTCAAATAGCCTTTGAACCTAATGAAACGTTCTCTGGATGAGTGCTGCGGTTCAGTCCCTGGCGGGTTTCTGAAATTTGCACTTACCCAGAAAAAAATTGGTTTTTGTGTTTCATCTTTGTTATATTATAATTATATCTATAAAAGTAAAATAGTTTTGGAGCTGAAAGTTGGAAAAATATTATCTATTTCCTTATTGCCTACATGCTGTTTACCAAATCACTCACGTTTTCTTGGGCTGATGCTTTTTTATAGAATCTCTTTTATCATTCTGGCTGTTCATGTTTGGGAGCTGTTTTTCTGTCAAATCCTAAATGATTGATCAATATTTCAATATGTTTTATAAACTCTCTTTTTTGGAACTCCTGAGTGGATATCTGTTTTATCTGCTTCTGAGTTGTGTGTTCTTCACTGAGTGCATATCTGTTTTAGAGCTGTTACTCATTTAACGTTGTGTTCCGGATAACTCATCTTTTTCCTCTTGTGCATACAGGAGGACATCCAGAGCGGAAATGGTTCTTATAAACAGAATATCCCTATATCGGCCAGTGGCTGGAACAATTTTGACCAGATGCTAACAGGCTTCTAAGAGTTACTATTCTCATTTATTTGGCTCCAAACATGACTTTTTTCTTCGGTTGTTGGGGTAATTAGGCTGCAATTGGATTCTGGGGCAACTGTTTGTACTTTTAGGGGAACAAATAAATCAAAAGTAGTAATTTGTTGTCTTGTCATGAGCTAAATTTGCTCGGTTATCAAAAGCTTGTATGAGGTTATTGGTTGTCTACCCTCGTTGAATAATTATTCTATCTTATTTTATTTTCGCAACAGCTCAGAATAAGTTTTGAGGCATGCCCTCCCTTTAGCATGAGTGAACAGAGATTGTAACTGCATGGATGATGAGCGTGTTCAAGCCAGATGATTATCTTGCAATGCGACATATTTCAGCTCCGGGTTTACTTGCAAACTCTACAGTGTTGATATGTTCATTGCAGTCTTTACCGGAATCTTCTCCTTCACCGCGAAGCAGCTGCTGTTGTACAAGTTTTAACTTGGTCATGAAAAAGAAAACTAGGGTTCTACAAAACTGAATAGCGTAATAACAATGTTGGATGTCATAAGTATTCCCTGTTATATATCAGTTGGTCCTTGAAAAATCATCTTATGAACAACCTTGTAAATGTTTGATGCTCTCCTACAGCTATGACAAGTAAAGAGGTTTTTCTGAGTTACTACTGTACTAACTGCCACACTATTACTTTGTCCTACTACTTCTATTGAGAGGATTGGAGATGGACGTGCGGGCATGGCCTCTCTGGTTCTCCTCTTGTCCACAGAACTTTAAGGTCCCCTCTCATCTGTGCCAAAGTCAGTAGAGTACCTGCAGAATGTAACTAGCTTATGTCATTGCTGCTCACGACGAACGTTTAGTGCAAAACCGAATTCTACGAATGTTCGAGATAGATGTTAGTGCAGATTACAAAAGCTGTTGCATCTTACCGAGTGTGAAGGGAACTATGTACAACAAAGCAGGTTGGCCATGACCGTCCATCAAGTTCAAAGCCACATATGTGATGAGGAGACCTGCAATTGCAAATCGCCAAAGCAAATCATTCATAGGTGAAACACTTATCATTAGTGACAGTGACATGATCTACAAAATAAAATACTTGTTACAGTAGAGCATTAGACTTTCTACATATTAATAGTAGCAATTTCCAACAAGAAAAAAGCATAGCTCTCTTAGCCACTAGGGAGAGGAGACAGTAAAGGGCCTGCTCCCTCAGTGGCCTCCCCCAATTTTACTCAAATTTCTTTTGCAGGCAAGTTAATTTTTCCCTGTGGTGATATATGCTTTAAAATGTAGGTATTCTACACATTGCCAAGGAACAATAATGCCATTTTCTGCTAAAATTATTCCTCCTTTTTCAGGAGATATTTGTCAAATAGGTCATATCATGCGCAAAATCATTGACTCACAGAAAACACGGTGCCTGCATGTGAGCCACACATAAGTTTTTTAAGTCACCTAAAATTCTGAAACTAGCTCAACCAGATGCATTTTCTCGATATAGAAAAAAGAAAAGAAGTGCAAAATGCCCCAAATTTTAGCACATTCATACCTAAACCATAAGCGGTCATTGCCCACACAAAGTAACCAGCTCGAAGCTTCTTATTTGCCAACCAATCATACCTGCAAAATTACCCACAAATTGTCCGATTAATGAACTGTTGAGACAATGCCAATGTTATAAACCCTCATTTGTAGTAATAACTAAAAGTTCAGAGTATCTCAGATGTTGCTGTCATATTGTTATTTGTGAGTCCCATGGTTTTTCTCATTAATTGATCCGAATTTCATGGTTAACAGAGTAACTCCTGAAATACCTAAATGTCAGCATGTTTTCACTTTTATTCTCATGTTATAGAATTCCAAAACAAGCCCTGTAGTACACAAATATTTGGAAACCAATGCACATAACAGAAGCAAAAACACAGTTTCTGAAACAGTGACAGTCCAGGTTCAATTGTAGGGACTTAAAAGGGATTGTCAAAGATATATTTGGCTTCTGCTTTCAGACCTTAGTGAAAAGGCTACAACCAATCCTGGTATGATGATATCACCAAATCCGATGATGCTGTAGCCACCCCAAGGATCAAACAACCGTGGGATTTTCAGTAGCATTGGTATACCATCCTCTCCACTTTTATCACCACGAGCCACCTATACAGAAGAGGAAAGATTAATATCTAAATCTCTCTCACTTGCAGGACAGGTGTAACAACCTCTATATAGGGTGCCAGTAAGGAAGAGAGTTTTTCTGATTTACTCACCACTATCATTACACTCTCATGGAACCACCATTTAGAAACAAATACCCAGAAGATATCATATAAAAAGGCACAACTGAGAAGAATTGTTCCAACCTGATTAGAGAGAGAGAGAGACGGAGAGATTATTGAATAATGAAGAAAGCATATGTTATGAATCAGAGCCAGACATGCTTGGCAAGTGAAATCTCTAGATAAATAAATAAAAAATATTCATGGTGCAATTTTTTTCCCAACTAAATATGTATATGATAAGGATTTAAGCAATGTAATATTATTTAACCCCTAGGATCAGTGTAAACACTAGAAATTCATACTCTGCCCAAAAGTAATCAGAAAAAGGCAGGTTTTGAATTATCACCTTGAGATTCGGTACTCGAACAAGTTGAAGAACTGTGATTATCAGTGCAATACCCTGATTTTTCATGAGCGTAAGTTAGTGTCTACCAAACATTTTACAGATTACAAAAATCACTTTGCACAGCTATTACTATCCAGGGTTGACAAAAGAAAATAGGGAAAATATAATAGCATGATAAAAGTGGGCAGTCCAAATACAGGATCTTTGACAACTCATGAATTCAAGTATAAGGGTTTTATTTTTATTTTTAATCAGAGCATTACCAGCTTGACTCTGGTACTCAAAGTCAAAAACAAAGATGAACCAAAAAAGAGCTGGATTAGGGAGATACAAAAGCAAAGTTGCAATTGATTAGGTTTGGATGTAAAAATTCCAGTGGTACTCTATAGCCACATCAACATTAAGACCAAATAAAAAAAGAATTTATTTCTTACAAGGATATCTTGACCTATCCAAGCAAATGAGACGCGGCGATACACTGCCCAAACAACAGCAAATGCTATGCAGAAGGGAGCAACGGCTAGCGTCAGATATGAAACAGCTCCAAAGAAGGGCACTTTAACATATGATTCTCCAGCATGTTTAAATCGTCTGAAACTATATTTGGTTAATTGTCAGCTTCATATTAGGAGACTTCACCAAAAAGAATATATATATATACACACACACATAAAATTAAAACTTTCAACAAGGGTCTTTTTTTATTTTAAAAAATTATTTAATACTGATCCTTGCAAACATTCTTACCTTACAAATCAGCCCTTATGGAAACAGGGTTAAGCCGCTGAAATTTATATTTAATCAATGCTCACTAGGAAACATGATATTCACTGTCAATTTGGCCAAGCTGCTTTTTAACTATTTTTCCACCCTACTAAATAAATTTCTATATATCCATAAGGAAGGAGATGTATCAAGATCAGAACTTGGTTCTTATTTAACCTTGAATTTTTATTTTCAGGGTGACAATTTATAACAGGACACTATTAACATCACTTGATGCCCAACACGAAATTAGCGGGTCAAGGTTTACCATTATTTGACATAAATCTATAAATGACACAACTTGTGAACGCTAATAATAAACAGATCAGGTTAACTTCAAACACAATAACCGGATTATGACATGGTAAACCTATTTAACCAATAATGTACGAAGAAAATGATTATTGTTTTCTATTTTTCAGTTTCTTGATAATCCTTGTACAATTATAATATTCTGTTTCTTGGTTTAGGCTGCATCTAGATCAGGTAGATGTTTATTTTACGAGTGTATGAGTCATAGCTTTTTAGAACCAAACAGATTCTAATCTTAAGTTCGTAGTTGATATATGGATTGACACGGACACGATACAATTAATAAACAGGTTGCGTTGGGAATTAAGTCCTCTGACATAATTTACTAAATAGGATGGGTTAGGGTTGACAAATACTCAACAGGAATCCAAATTAACATGACATGACTAAATTGCCACCCCTGCTTTTATCTATGATGCATTCCCATAAAATGTCCAAACTAGCATGGCAAAGGAACAATGAAATTCAAACAAAAGTTTCTTGACCAACAGGAAATAGGGTGCATTCCCATAAAATGTCTAACAAAAGGAAGAAAAGAGATATACCATGATAGCAAAGTCACCAAACAAGTCTGCAGGCCCTGTGGACAGAAAGAGAAGGTTCAGCATTAACCTCAAAGGACACATGAATAATAGTGTCTTAATTAAGAAGTTGTAATCATAGTGGCAAAGTCTGCATAGAACAAATGGCAATACCTCTATCCCACCAATGCAGAACAAAACCACCAGAATCTCCACAAACCAGAATGACATAAGTTTGTAAAACATAACCAAGAAGCATGAAGCAATCACAACAAACAGGATTGCTGCTGTGGTGCTAATCTCCACTAAAGCATTGGAACGATCAACTTCCATATGCAAAGAATCATCAGAGGCATCCTGCGCACATAGCACCAAACCATATAGAAATTGATAGAATAAGTGAATTACACAGAAATAATTCAAGCCCCATGACTGCTAAAAGTTACAAAATAGCTGCTGAAAGTACAATATAACCTTTAATAGCTTGTCATGCTCAATAGCTGCTTCTCTTGCACTCCATGCAGACCAATAAGAAGCAAATATGATGGTACCAACAGCCATAAGCCACAAAAACACTTCTGCAATATCGACCACTGGACGCAATGGAGAGTACAGCTGCACAGAAACTGAATAAAGGGATATCAGAGGCAACAGTACAAGCAAAAGAAGACCGCTTAGAAAGAATAAAATAATGTATTTCCACGCAAGAAAACTATTTTTTTAAACAAGAAATAATCCAGAGTATGGTGATGCATGGCCAATTGTTAATATATGCAGAAAAAAAAAACACATACCTTTGGATTTGTTCATTAAATCATTTTCTAAGATTGCACCAACATCTTGAGGAAGCATAACAGCTGGTATGCCTATCTCAACATCAGGTTCATCGTCTTCACAAACCATCTTGAAAAGTTCTGTAAGACAGACAGCAGAATTTTTTGTAACAGCAACTTATTTTCACTTAATCAATCTTCTTAACCACTGGTTTTTTTTAATATAACCTGAGCAGCCATTATAACAATAGAGATCTTTTTATG